TTGCTGAGGGTGAGAAGGAAACATCCCCGTCGTGTGTTTCCTCTGGAAACTGCCCGCTGGGGAGCCTCTCGCCTCTGGCTGAGTGGTTGCTTGGTCACGTTGGCTTTGTTTCAAGGACATACTGATTTTGGAGGGCTTACCTGGCTCGGAGTGGCCTGGCCAGTCCCTGCTGGTAGGAGTCCCAGCTTGCTGTCTTACCTGCGGGGATCTTCATAACTTGACATCTTCCTGAGACTGTTGGCTTGTAACAGACTGCACTTGCTGCTTGCCACTGAATTTGTCAACTCTGTAGGCCCTAAAGTGTGGTTTTTAGCTGATGAAACTGTTTTTTCCTCTGTCACTTTTGTCTTTCCTCTCCCTCCTGTCCTTAAGTTCAGGATTCAAAATCTGCAGATGCTCTAAACTAAGCATGACTCACACCTTCTAGTTTGTTTTGTGAATTATCCAGCACATGATGCTGACGGGAAGATGTTGGGAGCGGAGGGGGTGGGGAGCAAGCGATGGTTTTTTAAGGCCCGAAAGGAAACGCTTGGAGCGTGTGTGTGTGGTCCCTGGGTCATTGAACTGGCCAGCGTCCCAGAGCACATCGTATGGGCCATGTGAACCAAGGGGGCCCTTTGGGTGGTTGTCGAAACACGGTCTAAGACTGCAGGCAGAAGTGTGGGGGGTGTTTTGCTGGAAGCCTTGCTTGAGAAGCAGCGGAGGGGATTGACCTCTATAGAGCCAGTGAATATTCGCGCTGCCTGTTGCTGGATGTTACCTACCTCTGTCACACACCTAAGTATCGTGAGCAGCATCTGCTGCTGCCTCTGCTCCTCTGATGTGGTTACCTCAGTCTCTTACCTCGGTCTCTTTGAAGCAGTTTGGTGTTAGAAATGCCAAGTTATGGAGCTGAGGTAATGCTGGAGAGATCTAGTGAGGCAGATGGCAGAATATGAAAGGAAAAGGTTATTTCATGAAATACTGTGAAGTTGTTGTACCTAGAGACATTCTTATCTCGGCCATAAAGGCGGAGCTTGCAAGAGCCTCAGATGCTTAGAAAGGCTTATTTTTGGGGTGAGCTCCTACCAGTGGAGAAGACCTGCGCTTGGAGCTTGCAGAGAGGCTCTTCAGGATCCCTCAAGCAAGCAAGCTCCCTCCTTCATGTGGCAGGTTGGGGTTTTGCAGCCCACCACTGCCGTGGAGGATGGTGCCTCCAGCCATGCTTCTGCCCCCGTCCTCCCCTGCAGGCACCTCTGCTGGCCAGGGCAGCGGCTGGGATTCCTGGGCTGGCATCTCTTTTGTTGAACGCTGTGCCAGAAGCGCATATTCCAGGCCTGCTCCCTGCTGCGCCAAGGCAGATTGGCTTAATCTTAAGACTATGGTAAACCTGTTGTTAATGTTTCACGCTTCACTGGACTTGCCAATTGGAGCCACTCTGATTGCACCCCTGCTGCTTGTTTGATGGCTCGCAGCCAGGGCCCGGAGATGGGAACTCAAGTTAATTCACAGCAGCGAATGTAACATTAATCTTACCTTTCATTTTTTAGGAGTACAGTTAGGGAATACGGAAATAGATTTCTTTCCCCTTAAATACGAAGCCTCTTGGCGAGGAGGGATTGTGGGTCTCTGCATTGTCATCGGGGCCATCCTGTGTCTCAGCACGAACCCAGCGCACCTAATGCCTGCTAATGAGTGTGCTGGGGCCACGCTGGGACTGGGCAGGGGGTGAGGACTAGCGCCGATGAAGCTTCGTTGCTGACCCTGCCTGGCTGGTCCACATCTCCAGTTATTGTGTAGTTGCCTCGTGCTTGGATGCGTGTCTTCGAGGGTGGAGGGTTGGCTTCCTTGGCCTCACTTTGTAGCTGCAGTCATGCTTGACTTGGTGCCATGGGTGCTGGGTCTAGTCTTGAGGGAGGGGTTGGCACTTGCCGTCGCCCCCAGACTTGCTAGGGAGTTGCAGGTGTCCGCGTCTCTTGCCACCTGGCTGGCTGACAGCGTGTTGTTGTGTTCGTGATGGGATGTTCTCATCTTCTCTGCACACTGTTCTTGGGCTGACGGGACTTGGGAATAATGTGCTTAGATGAGGTAGAGGCAGCCAGCCCAGCCAAATTTCTGACGGTGGCGAAAGGTCCTCTTGTGTCGTCTGCCCTGCCAGCAGCTTCAGCAGCACAAAGCGAGGGCTGTGTGCTCGAGCCATCCATTTGCGGGTTTGTAAGAGCAGCTTAATGGAGCGTTTATGCAGCCAAGTGGCTTCTTCAGCAGCACGCAAGTGAATCCAAGTGTGTGAACAAACCCAAGGCTTGCTGCTGCCCCACCAGCCTGCTCTGTGTCCTCTGTGAAGCTGGCAGCACCACGGAGCCCAGAGACTTGGCAGCTGCCAGGGTGTGCATCGTGAGTAGCCATCCGGTTTCCCTCTCTTTGTACTGGATCTTGATGGGATAAGCATCACAGTTTTAAGACACGGCCCCTGAATTCATGTCTAGGCCCTGCAACTTGGTGGCTTGTCCCAGAGCATTGTCCCCACTTGCTTTGTCTGTGTTTAACTTTGGAGATCCATGAACTACTTCCAGCAGATCTCTGGAGGAGCAGTTAGAAGAAGCAGGTCCATCTATACAACACAACAGCATATGCACTTGGCCTTTTTATTTAAGGAGTCTGGGCTTGCTTTAGGAAGTTTATAGTGGCCCATCAGTCAAAAAGGGTTAAACAGTCATTGCTGCAGTGTAGGAATGAAGCTCACTAGAGGAGATGAGACTTTTTTGGGGCTGGTGCAAGACTGTCAAGAGAAGAGCGGCAGTGCTGTACCTTGGCCCTCCCACTTGCTTGCCTCTATCACAAGCATGCTTCTGTCAACATTGTTTTTTTCCCAAACAAATAAAGAAGTGTGTCTGGGTGTGGGTAGAATGGAGTAAAAAAACTGAAAGTCCTCCTCTGCTCATGTGCTTCTCTGGGGAGGATGGAGCAAAGGTCTGCCAGCACCATGACCAACAAGGCAGAGCTGTTGAATACCATGGGGATCAGAGCAGTGTATGAGCCGGTGCAGAAAGGAGTTGGGATGGGCTGGGGCACAGTTTCATAAGCTTTTCTTACAGCAGCAGCGATCTTTATGCAAAAAAATATGCAGCTCTGAAGTGTTCATCCTTGCTCCTATGCTGCCCGCTTGTCTTGCCAGTACAGCTGTTCGCGCAGCTGTGTAGTGGACTTGCTCAGAGACCTTTTGCAGTTAAAAATAACACTTCCCCCGCTGCCTTTTTTTTTGTTTCTTTTTTTTAAAGTCTGTCAGGAGCAAGTGCAGCTTCTTGAATATGTGATGGTAAAAGCATAGCCCTAGATTTGGGCAGACTGTTTGTGGCTCTGTACAGAGGTGTCTTTGCTTAGCCCTGAGCTGAGGGTAGGGCTCAAACCACTGAGCTGGATGTGCCCTTCCAGCACGCCAGACGAGGCTTGTTGTAAGTAGAATGTCCTTGTTCCACAATCATGCTATGAAGCTGCAGTAGTATTAGGGACCATGGAAATAAAGTCTTTATGGGCAAGATCCCCTTGCCCTATCCCATAAAAATGTGCTTGTGACCACCAAGCACCCTGCATATGTTACCTGTGAATGACTGCTGCCTAGCTGTGGCTTTTCCAGATCTGTGGCTGAAGGCAGTGTCAGTTTCTTTATACATAAATGCCCACTGGAAGTGTTGCAGTGCTATTTGTTGTTTTGTATCCTCTTTCCTTTTTTAAAAGAAGTTGCAATAGAAAAAGCAACAACAAAACCTTAATTGCACCGTCCAGAATTGTACAGGCTTAAAGTGAGTCACTATGGGATCGTATAACCGTAATCTTTGTCCTCATCTCCACTCGGCTGCTTGTTGCTCTCCTTCCCCGAAGCGCTGCTCGAGCTGTTGGGAACTTTTGTCATCTCTGAAACGTCCTCCCATGCAGAAAGGCTCGGCCAAAAATTCTGTTGCATGCGATAAAGGATGGAAGTATTTGTCTGACCTGTTAGTACAGACAGCTAGAAACTCTGCTAGATGTTATGCAAAGATAACCTGGGTGCAGAGGAACAGCTTGATGCTTCTGTATTGGAGCATGTGTATCAATGCAAGAAGAGGGAAGGCTCGTTCGACTGCGGCTTGGGAGCACACAGCTGCCGCCTTCTTGCCTTGTAGTATTTTCTACCCTTTGCAGTGATGGAAATGTTTTATCTTCTCTGACTCTGAACGCTTTCATAAATGGATTCCTCATAAATTCCCCTTGTAGTTTTGGTACGTTCTGGGGGTTTTGAGGTTATTTTCACTTTCTCTTCTAGGCTGTTGCTGTGTTCTGCAAAAGAGAAACCTTGGTCTTCCCCAGAGGTTTCGCCCGTGGAACACAGTGGCAGTGGTTTGAACCTCCCTCTGCAGCTTTGGAAGCACCTTGTGGTTCTCGGCTGTGTGCCGTATGTTTCAAATGGGAGATGTTCCCCTTTTGGTCCTGTTAAGCTGCTTAGTTTGTCACACTGAGGGAAGACAAGTGACAGACATCTCCAGTGTAGATTTTTCAGTGCCCCTGCCTTAAACTCCCCTGAAGGTGGACGGGGACCCCGTGTACGGCAGATGTGCGGCGCGGGGCCCCAACCTGCAGTCTGAGGGCTCAGGGCAGTTTGTCCTGGCTTCCCCGAGGAGCTGATGTGTACCTGCCACCAAAAGACTGAATCTGATGCTGTGTGTGTGTGTCCCTGTCCCAGTATGTACGTGACTTGTGTCGCCCCGCTGCCTATCATAACAAGTTAAAAATAAACCTTGGTGTTTTTCTACAGCGTGGGTAGAGCGTTCCTTTGAAAGTTCAAGTGCGAAAGTGATAGGCATTGGCAAAAATCTGCTGCTTTCAGACTGGTGCCAAAGGCAGCTCGTTCCCTTCGCGGTTAGCTTGTCTCCGGGTCGCTTTCAGCATCTTTTTAAGAAGCTGTGCTTATCCCTGCCGGTAATGCTGTGGTTGATTCTGTATCTGGGTTCTAGGTACAAATCCAGCATCCACGCTTGCAAAAGTCAATGAAGCTTATAGGAGACAACTGTAAAATGATGTGTGAGCTGGTAGAAATGCCTTGCAGCGAGAGCCATGGAGCTGTGTCAGCTCAGCTCTGCAGAGGTGACAGTGTGCATGTGCCTTTGTGCAGAGAAGATATCATTCTCAGACTCTTTAACCTGACAGAGAAAGTCATAGTACGTGCAAACACTTGCCCTGGGTTTTAGCTGAGCACAGTCGGTGTGGGCGTTGGTAGAGATCTGGGTGGAATACAGGGTTTTGTGCACAAGGTCTGATCCAGTGCTGGTGTGGGCAATGCTGGTTTTAAACTGAAGAAGCAGAGGTGGAGAGGAGTGTGGAGCAGGCTTGTTACGCAAACAGGGACAAAGAGGTAAATGCACGCAAAAAAAGCCACAAGTGCGGGAGGGGGGAAAACATAAGTTCAGACCTTGGCTGGTAGAAAGTGTGTCAGAAGTCTCTGTGTGTGTATGCTCCCTGACCCTCGTAGCTCTTTTGATGCCTTTTTTTTTTTTTTTTTCCTCCTTTCTCCTGATGCTGATTCTCTTGGCTTTGTTTCTCTGCCCAGTGTGCCGAGACTTTGCTGTTTTGGAAGATCATACCTTGGCCCATAACTTACAGGAGCAAGAGAGTAAGTAGCAATGATTTTTGAACAAACTGAAGCAAATTTGTCCCAACAGATATCTAGCTTTGTTTGGTTTTGCTAAGAAAAATCCTCCCTGCTTTTATTTAATTTTTATCCTTTCTAATGGAATACAGATTATTGCTACTGTCTTCGCTGTCCTGTAACACTACTCTGCGTTCTGCCCCAGCTCACACTGGACCCTAGAGATAGTTGCATTTCATGTTTCAGTTTTGTGCTTTGCTTTAGGGTTGAGTTTGTTTATGCCATTTGTGATAAAATTGCATGTGGGAGTGCACTCGAGGTTTTGTTGCTGTGCAAGGTTTTTACAAATGACTAGCAATTTTGGAAGCTTCAAGTTTTAGAAGAGGTCTGTTTATTTCAGAATCGCTAGTGCCTGCCTTTTGAAAGGAGGCTTAATTTTAAGACGTTTTGAGGTAGGGCAGCTGTACACTTTAGGGCTTAAAAAGGAGAAAAAAAAGTACAGCTGGGAACTTCAAAGTGACTGGTGATTTTTTTTTTTTTGTTAACATGCTTATCTGTTACTTGGGATATGTTTACATTGCAGTTTCAGGTGTGGTGGCCTCTCTAATCTGCTTTGCTGGGTGCCAAGAACATTGGTGGCTACCAGTACTAGGTACTAATACCATTCCAGCTACTCTACCAGGCGTGCAGTTTGTGCTGAAGTTGTGCCCTTGCTGCTGGAACCTGAGACCACTGAATTAAAGCTGGCTCTCAGCTGCAACTCGTGTAGCCATCTTTTCTTGCAAACAGTATCCATGTATGGTAAAGGACTTGCTGTAGTGCTGTGTTGCTAAATATAAAGGTAGTGAGATTCTGGAACCAATTATGTTGAGAGTGAGAGGAGTTTCCTTCTCTAGAGTTTCTTGAGAACAAATTAGGGAAGCATCCAGCAGAAGGGGTTTAGGTTCAGCTCATCCTCCCTGGCTTCTGGTGGTCCCTTCCAGCCCCACGTTATTAATCAAGGGTATTTTGCTGTGGCTAAAAATGAAATTCAGAGCCTAAAAAGCATTTCCTATAAATCTGCATGCAATTAAGACATGAAGATCTTGTTTTGGTAACAGACACACATAGACAGCCCCCTCAGTGCTGAAATGAGGCAATCTCAAGCTGCTAGCGTAACATGAGTTCAGGACTTCCCCACCTTGAGAGATACTACATAATGTTTCCGTGCCAAGAACTGTCTTCCTTTCTGGCCTGGAATCTCCCTCCCACTTGCTTTGTCTTGTTCACACCATGGAGTTCTGCAGGCTGATTTGGGGGTTCTTGTCTGTGTTTATTTCCAGTTGAGCATCACTTGGCAACAAATGTGCAGCGTAATCGTCTGGTGCAACATGACTTGCAGGTGGCCAAGCAGCTGCAAGAAGAGGAGGATCTGAAAGCACGTGCTCAAATCCAGAAGCACCGAAAAGACTTGTGAGTTTGGGGTGGAGCTGTTGAAATGCTAGTCTGGTGTGATCAGAGCACTGAAATCAGCTGCTTTGATTTGAGTTGATTGACAGTACGTGGGGCTTGGGTTGATCAGCCTTTTGCTTTTGTTTCCTTTTTCGTTTGGCTATCTGTTGCGTTAAAAGTATTGGTACTCAGCACTGGCACAAAGCAATGAGAACGGGGTGGGAGTAGGTGGTGCTGGGGCCCGTCCTGGCTTGGATTCTGCTGCCTGACCATGGGAAGGAGCCTTCCTGTTCTGCTGCCTGATGGTGGAGTGGGGTAGGCATCGACCTTGTCCCTGGCTCAGTCCACCACGGAAATAGGCAGTGTTACAGTGAATTCTCTCTTGTGGAAATCACAGATATTGGCATGTTTGCATTGTGCCTGATGAGTGCTTTTGAGGAGCTGGATGCAGCGCTGGCACGGAATGGCTGAAAGCCACTCCTTGTGCTTGCAGATACTTCAGTGGGGAGTGACTTGGGAAGGGGAGCTGCTGCCCCAGGGTCCATTGGTGGAGATGGGTGTTGGGGGACGGGCCTTCTCTTGCAGTCCCTGCCTTCTGCAGCAGCTGTGGGAGCATGTTTAATGGGTGATCCAGTTTGCTTTGCAGGTTTGCTCTGGCCCCACACACCAGATCTAACCCTGTGGCCTGTGTTTTGGCTTTCTGTGTGCCATGGCTCTTGGGGTGTGGAGCCAGTGTGGAAAAGAAACACAGCAGTGCAGGGTGAAACAAACTGTACTTTCCAGTCCAGAGTTTACATCAGTGCTTTGCTTTTCTTTCTTTCTTTTTTTTTTTTTTTTTTTTTTTTTTTTTTTTTTTTGTTTGTTTGTTTGTTCCCCCACCCCCCAACTTAGTCTCTTGCAATGTGTGAGGTGTAACAAATGGGTGGTGTGAGAGGGCTCGGTCAGATCCCGATGAGGAAGCCGGCAGCTTGCGTTCTGATGGGGCTCCCTGCACAAGCAGGGTTGGTGAGGCAAGGTCCGTCTCCCAGCGGTGCGCTGTGCTCCGTGATGCCACCCACCAGGTACAGCAGGTGGTGGATCACGAACCCTGGGTGGCTCCTCTGGCAGAGATGGAGCAGAAGAGCTCTGTGTTGCAGATGTGTGAGATACAGGACTGGCTTCAAAGGAGCTGCTCGTAAAAGGTTTGAAGCTGGGGCGTGATAAATCAGCCACTGTTTTCAATGTTCCCAGAGTACTCAGACAGCACTGGGTACATACATGTGTTTCCCTGAAGTTTGTGCTTTCTTTCAATAGCTTTGTCTTCATTACCAATTAGAGCTGTAAGCATGTAAATGACAACAGAAAAAATTAATTTTGTATGGCAGAGATGATTCCTTTTTGTTACTTGCTGGGAACTGCAAACAATTTTCTTGTTGTAAGACTCTGTGAAATGGAATTTGCTAACTTTGTGAGCCAAGTTACAGGCAGAACTGCTGAAGCAAAATGTTGTGTCAGCAGCAGTTCTGCTCCTGAAAGCATGAACTCTTCTGCAACAATGGTAAAAAAAGTTGGCGGCATCCTCTTGTAATTGGATCTTTTTCTTCCTTAATTCTCTGTGTGTTCCTGTCTCTTCCTTGTGCAAGATCATTGTGTTCTGGCAACAAAATGATCCTTGCTGTTGTTGCTTACTGCATTGTCTGGGACAGTTTGGCACTGCAAGGTGATGGAGGAGTAAAGAGGCAGAACTGGGTGGACTGCAGAAACAGGGGACATAAAATAAGCCCTTCAAATTTATGGGCTTTCTTCTGTCTTTCAAATCCTAGATTCTCTCGGAAAGACGTCGTGAAGATAAGTGAGAGAATAGAAATAACTTCTCTTTTTAAGAATTCAGGGAGGCATCAAACCTTATTTTCATGCTTCTTTAAGAGCATCTCTCACATCTAGCTGAGCAGCCTGCACGCTGCCAAGCATAGTAGCAAGGTTGCTAAAATAACTGTCGGAAATACCGTGAAAGTATGCTCTTTCCTCATTTTGCTCCCAGTGCCGTGATGGTTCTGTTACGCTAATGTGAACAGTTTCTTTGAACACTTCGCTTAACCCTTCTGGGTTTTTTTTTCTCATCTGGCTGTAGCAAGTAATTGTTGCCAATGTGAATGGCTTTCCGGTCACACTGACTTTTTTTTTTTTTGACTTTTTTTGTTAAACTGATGTAGAGTCTCCCTGACACTCTTACCACTCCTGGCTGCCCAGGAGCAAAGAATACATAGGTATGAGGCTCAGGGGTGGTGGCGTTTACTTTGCTTTGGCTGATTTCTGGGGACTGATGGGCACTTGAACTCACACTAAGGAAACCGAAGGACAAGAAGAGCTGTCAAAGTTCTTTAACCTATTTTCTTATACTCAGTCAAGTTGAAACATTGGCCTATGTTGATTAACTAATCAGGTCTCAGTGTTTAATTACCACTGAGCAATAAAACCAAAAATCTAATCCTCTGTTGCTGTTCAGTGGCTGTTGGATTGGTAGGGTGTATTCCAAGATGCATGTCATCAGGAGCAAGAAATGCTTCTGCTTTTGCATTACTTCTAGTGTTCTCTGCTGTGAACAGAGAGGCAATGACCTTGTTGCCTTGGCTCTAAAAGACGGTTAGCTGTTTCTGTCTCCTGTTTGTCTGCAGTAAGAGGTATTTTAAGCATTTAGCAAGTCAGTTGGTGCTGATGAACTTGGCACCTTAGCTCTGTTCACAGGTGCTCGCGGAACTGGAGACGTGCAATGCCTTGATATGTCTGACCTTTCTAACTTATTTTATACCTTGATTCATGTCCTCTGAGACTGGGGTTGTAAGGGATCCACTGTCTTAGGCCCACTGACAGTCTGCTCCCCAGGATTTGCACATTCAGGTACTGTTTTGCTGGGGACTGTGGTTCGCTGCTGGTACTGGGTTTGCCGAGCTCCCTTTTTATACGGCATGTTAAAGAACTAGATTTACTGCCGTGTGAGCTTGTGCCTTTGAAAAGGTCTCTTACTGGAGTCAGGTGAAATGCACACATGCAAAATGCCAACTGGATGGAAGAAACTGGCGTCTAAATAGAATCATAGAATCATTTTGGTTGGAAAAGACCTTGAAGATTATCAAGTCTAACTGTAAACCTAGCTGCAGATGTTTGGCCTACTGATAACTCCAGCACTGCAAACACTGAAATTCATGAATGCCTTCCAGGGCGTCTCTAGCTGTGGGTCAGTTTTAAGCACAAGTGTTTGTGAGTGTGGTGGTCTGGGAGAGGGAAGGAAATACCATGTTGTGACACTGACTTGGGGTTCACATGTGTTTGGGGAAGGAGATATAAATAACATGCTATACCCAATTGCATGTCTGCTTTCAAGAAGCAGTTGCCAGAAATAAAGAAGCTTCTTTTCCCTCCTGCCACATGTTCCTTTTCCTTCCCTATGACAGATTAGTTGTTTCCTGGTGGCATTTGTCCTCTAAACCCTCTTCTTGTCCCAGTGTCCTTCCTCCCTACCTTAAGCCACATATCCACTCTTTCTGCTTCTCTCATTCTTCTTTACTTTCTATAAAAGCTGGCTCTCTGGTCCCACTGACTGCTTCAGCCATGCCACTTCTCTCTGTTTTGCTACCGAAAGTGCTTCTCTACAGTTACTATTTTAATTTCCCCCACTCACATGCTAGACTCCCTTCCTGTCCCTTGCCTCCAAGTTCACTACGTCACTTATGCCCTGATCCTTGCTCAAGCCTAGAACTAGTTGCTCCAGTCTACACGGCCCAACTTTGACATAGCTGAACCTGCCTCTCTTGAAATATTTGCTTCATTTACATAATACGCTCTTGGTAGTGCTCCCATCGCCTATCTGATGTTGCAAGTGTATTCTTCAAAAGATTGTATTCTAATAAAGCAAACTCTGCCTGTTGCTGCTCACATTCTCATCTCCTTCTTTGCCTTGCCTTTCAGTAGTCTCAGTTGCGGAGATAGCTTAGATTGACTTTTCTGACCTGTTTAGAGCTAGTCTTTTGCTCAATTTCAGCAGTGCTGAAAGAGAGAGCTCTGAATCTTTCTTCTCAAATCCTCCCAGTCTTTCTGGGTTGCCCTAAGGAGCCCCTGGCCGTCATTCCAGCCTGTTTGCCGGGCATCGGAGCCCGTGGCTGAGTATGGCACAATTCTTGGAGATGCTTTGGAAGGAATTCCCTGAAATACAGCCTTCCTAGTCTACCTGCACAGACGAAACTCTCATTTCATGCCTCAGTTATTCGGTATCTCTTTGTCTCTCCCCAGTTAATGCAGGACTGTAGCTCCTGCATCCGCAGTGGATGATTGCTCCCTCACCCCTCATTTTGACGCATGTCGCTCTCTTGCCTCTTGGCACCGGTTCTGCTTTTGTGTCTCGTCCCAGCTCAGCAGCATTTCTCATTCATTACTGAACTGCCACCTCCAGCCTCCCCTTGGCCTGCTTACTGCGTTTTGTTGTCAGCATTTCTGCGCTCTCTCCTTCTTGGCTTTCACGTGAAAACCACTTCCCAGAAATGCCTGCGTTTACCTGACCCCTAAACCCCTCCTTTGGCACCACGTGTACAAAAACTCCTCAGCAGAATTAGGCTGTTTGCAGAGACTCCTTAGCCTGCCCTGTCCCATGGTACCTACAAACCTTAGCAAACTGCCTATGAATGTGTTTTATCTTGCTTTGTACTCTGATT